TATATATATATATATATATAAACAGATATTCAGCTCAAACACAGAGAATACAAGATTTTTTACGTGGAAAGCCCTAGAAAGGAGAAAAAACCACAGGGTCAAGCCCAGTTGAAAATATTTCACTAGAATTTGAGTTGAGTACAGTGTGCTAACTCGTCCTTAAGGTCGATCAGATTACAAATGTCAACCGTATAGTTGAAGTCTAGTGTCAAATCTGGCATCACTTGGAAGTTAGGGCGTTAATTAGTAGTCCGACAGTGACTTGGTGGAACTCTGGTGGAGTTCAGACCCTTAGGTGGTGGTTCGGGTGAGCTCAGGCCCTCGGTGGTGGTCTGGCGGAGCTTAGGGCCTCAAGTGGTGTTCCAGCGAAGGTGAGGGCCTCAAGTGGTGGTCCGACAATAAGAGGGCCTCAAGTGGTGGTCCGACGAAGGTGAGGGCCTCAAGTGGTGATCCGGCGAGGGTGAGGGACTCAAGTGGTGGTCCGGTGGAGGAACAACGTCAGGCGGTCGTCCGCCAAGGGTGAGGACCTCAAGTAGTGGTTTGGCGAGGGTGAGGGCCTCAAGTGGTGGTCCAGCAAGGGTGAGGGGCCTCAAGTGGTGGTATGACGAAGGTGAGGGGATCAAGTTGTGGTCCAACGGAGGTGAGGAACTCATGTTGTGATCCGGCAAAGCAACGACATCAGGCGGTAGTCCGGGGGAACTCAGGCTGTGGTCGAGGAGGAGCAAAGAGGCAAGAGTGATCTCCGATCTCTCTCTTGAATCATCTGGCTTGGGGTCCCCTTTCAAGAGAAAGGAGTGGTCTATTTATAGATTTCTAAGTGGCATGGCCCAGAAATAGGTGAGAGATGAAGGATAAATGGGGAGTGGTTGGATGGACGGCTGATGTTGTATCCCTTGATCAAGGACCTTTTGATGGACATTTGAATGTCTTATTAATGTTGGAATTTGATGATCTTAGGCTCGTTGGATTTGTCTTGTCGAGCCGCTCTATTTGACTATAAGAATATTATGTTTGGAAATCGTTTGGTAATCTAAATTGTGATTTGAACCTTCTAACTATGCTTCTAACTCTTGATTTGGACCCATTTGGGCTCGGATTGTGTTGGATTTGGTGTCGTTGGGTTCGTATTCTCGAGACGTTCAGTTTGACTATAAGTTTGCTAAAATCGAAGTTCGGATGGTCACAATTTAGTTATTTTTATATATCTAATAACAATTTTTTTCTATATATTGATATATCACCAAAAAATTATCTTGATCAAACACGAATCTCAAAGTATATTTTTGTCAAAAATTTCCACAATTAAATCTGAGGTAGTCTGAACTTTGAGACGAACTCAACGACACCAATTTCAACATGATATGGCCCAAATGGGTCAAAATCAAAGACCTGAAGTGCATTTGGAAGGTTTAAAACATAAATTTGTTGGCCAAATGATTTCTAAATGTAACATGCTTACAGTCGAATCGAGCGGCTCGACAAGACAAATCCAACGAGTCCAAGAATGCTTAATTATGATATCATTTGGGCACTCAATTGTTTAACAAATGCTCCAATATCAAGAGAATCAATATGAGTCATTCATTGAAACACTCTCAATTGCCCTTGATCTTCTTTAAATTTATGGAGCATATTGCTACCAAAAATTATAAATATACCTCATTCTTCTCATGAAGTGGAGAAAGAGAGGAAAAAAACAAGAAATCTGAGGCTGAAGCTCCACCCCAACACCACCGTAGGCGAACTTTTGTCTATTGCTAGTGGAATTTAACCAGATGCCAATCAACGCCGAAGTTCTGCCCGACCTCCATTGCCCTCCTACTGCGGTCTTTCTGACCACCGTCTCCCTCTGACTACAATCCTTCCAACCACTTTCGGCCGACTACAGTCCTTCTGACCACTTTCGCCTATCGACTATGGTGTCAACAACAGTCCTTCTAATCACGATCGCCCGCCAACTACAGTCCTTCCAACCTCGGTCGGCCACCGACTACTGTCTTCCCATCCACTATCGCCAACCGATTACGATCTTTCTGACCACCATCACCCGTTGATTATTGTCTCTCTGACACTGTGATCATTCGCCAACTGCAATCCTACTAATCAAATGAACATATCAACATTCTCTTAAGCACGACTAGTATGTCATTCTCCGACTATGTATTGTATTATATATAGTGCATATTTGCTACATTGACTCATTACCCTCTTTTGAGGATGGGCATCATTTGTAATCAACCACAAATACTAGTGGACTCATTTCAGCTAAGTCAAGCCCATGATTTTTTTTCTCTTTTTCAGGATTTTCTACATAAAAATTCTTGCGACTCTTGTGATTGATGCACCCATCTCTTCTACCTGTTTGTGTACTAGATTTTCACCAAAAAACTATGAAGCTAAACTTTATATCTCTCTACCACTCTATATATATATATATATATCTCCTAGTGTGAAATAGTAATACCTATGAATTCATAATTTATTAATTAGATAATAATTTTTGTCCGAATAAGTTCAAAATATTCTTTATCGTCTCTGGCTTGTTCTCCTTGGCCTCTTCTTCTATGGTTCAAAGCATCTCACGTCACGTGTTTCGTGCGTGCCAATTCTATCACCATCAAAGCATCCATCCTCAACTATCTAGCTTTGAAACTTGAACTGGTCTTTCCCTCATTAATCACTAAAAATAATTTCAAAGATATTCGTGTCTCTCTCTTATTCAGAAAGAGAGAAACAGATAGAGAGAGAATTAAAGAGTTCAAAATGCTTGACTTGGACTAAGCCATGACTTTGCTCTATATAAATCTTTTCACATTTATATATAGGAGCAAGAAATAACGTCTTATTCTTACCACTCTTCAGCTCCTTACAGATTAGAACAAGATTTATAACTTGTTGTATGAAGTGAAAAAAAGCTGAAAGGAAGAAGAAATGGAGGAGCAGATGATTGGCTTTGAGGAGAGAAGCAACAAGATCAGCAGGAAGGAAGTGGTTGAAGTTGTTGAAGAAGAAGAGGTGGTTCTTCCTGGATTCCGGTTTCATCCGACCGACGAGGAGCTCGTCGGATTCTATCTCCGGCGAAAGGTGGACAAGAAGAAGCCTCTCTCCATTGATATCATCAAGCAGATTGATATATACAAGTATGATCCATGGGACCTTCCAAGTAAGTTCATGCAATATCATCTTAATTATTTGTTTCTAATCAACTTTATGAGTCTTTATTATCTATTTTTTTTTTTCATGATATCACAAATCATGTATTCATTTTGTCTTATAATTCTTTTATTAAATTCTCATTTCTAACAAGCTAAATTTATCTATTAATGATTAAAATTTATGGATAAGATGATGAAAATCATGAAGAATTCTTAATGCTATTTTATCTTCTTGCTAAGGTTTTTAAGCAAATTATTGCACTCAATGAATTTCTAGAAACTTAATTTTATAATATTTATTTATTTAAACAATAAATTAAATTTATACAAAATTTTAAAATTTTAACTTAAATGATGACATGCTTGTTATTTATTTGATAATTTCTTTTATATTTATATATATTACAATATATTTTAAGATAGAATTATGATGTAGATATCTAAATTTATAATACTTAATGAATTTTATTAATATCAATTAAGACTCATCAATTCATTTGTATTTAGAAATAAACATATAAGATTAATGTTGCCTTCTCCCAATACCATTTATATATGCTAACTGAGTTCATACACTTGAAATTTTATCTGTAGAATTGAGCAATATTGGTGAGAAGGAATGGTACTTCTTCTGCATGAGGGGAAGGAAATACAGAAACAGCATAAGGCCTAACAGAGTAACAGGATCTGGTTTCTGGAAGGCGACCGGCATCGATCGACCGATATACTCTTGCAGTAACCCCGACGAATGCATCGGCCTCAAGAAATCTCTGGTTTATTACAGAGGAAGTGCAGGAAAAGGATCCAAAACTGATTGGATGATGCATGAATTCAGACTTCCTTCCTCCAACAAAACCAGCAATAAGAGCCCTCCCAGCATCAATGAAGCAGTAAGATAATCTCCACGTCCTTTTTCCCACTTCAAATATGTGCAACAGATAGTCTAATTCAATGGAATTGCAGGAATCATGGACGATATGCAGAATATTCAAGAGAAATATATCATTCAAGAAGTACACACAGCAGATGAAATGGAAGGAAGCTGGGGGAATCGGAATGCAGAACTCTGCGGATTCGAGCTCGAAGACGAGCAGTTTAGATTCAGAAACTGGAGAAGAACATACATACTTGCATGGAGGATGCAATCAGAGCTATGTGAACAGATATATGGAGGAGAATTGGCAGTTATGTGCAGCTGGACAGTGGAACTCTGAAGTTCAGACAAATAGTATCAGTTTACAGTCAAACTTGGTGAATTTGAATCAGAATGAGATTTTCAGAGAGGGAAACTGGGATGAAATTGGAAGAATGGTGGATTATATGACGGAACCAGTCATCACATATGACTCTATATATTTTTGAAGCAGCTATGATAGATAAGATTTTGCTTTGGTGTGCATCTTTTTTGGTTTTTTTTTCTTCATAATTAAGGAATTAACAGTGGAGGCTGTATAATGGAGCTAATTTTGTGAAAAATATATGGATTATATGTTATGAATCAGTGAAATCATCCCTTTTTTAGTGTGATATTGTAAAATATTATGGCAGAGGAGATGTTATATAGTATGTTCAGCTGCAAAATTTATTTCAAAGTCAAAGATTTAAAATTTTGGAAGGAGAGACAATGATTTGATATTTTTACAACAAAAAGTGTTCAATTTAGAACCAAACTCGATATATTCACATGTCTTAGCCTACAAGGCATGAAAACCGATCGACAAAAAATTATAAAATTTATAATTCGACAGAATTTATTTGCAAAAAGATGTTTCAATAAAACTTTTTTTTCTTTTTGGCATAAATAGAGGTTTGAGTCGTAGTACAAATTTGATATAGAAGAGATTTTATTCGAGACTTTGATGATAATTTTAAAGATGTTTATGACTTATCATCTTTTGATCTTGATATGTTTATGCACTGAAACTCCGCTTTTAAGAGAGAATTATTTGATTCTGAGTAAATGAAAAGTAGATCAAAATATTTCAAAGTCAAGCACCTCAAAACATACTTCAAAAGTTTTCCTTCTAAACAAGTAATTCAACCAACTTTTAAGTTGAATGTCTAAGGCTTTGTTTGGAACGGCTTTCATCCTGTTTCTTAAAGCGGCTTTGTAGTACCAAAATTAAGCAGTAAGAAAGATGTCTCAAACGAAATCTAAGATATGCATATGCAAACAAAATTTCATTACTATATATGAAAACCAACGGTGGAGAATAAATTACCTTTAATTGAAGATGTAATAATATTTAATTTTATTGACATTTTTTGTTCTTTATTTATCCAAAATCTATGATAAATAGAGATTATTTGTACTTTCAGAACTAAATATCATGAATACAAAGAATATCATAAAATTTTATGTTTATGTGAATATGATGTTTGATGTGGATAGATCATAGATGTTATATGAGGAGGAGATTAATATAACATGTGAGAATATAAAATTTGGGCTCTTTATCTATTTTTGATTGATTTTTCAGGCTAAATTAATATAACATTAAATGTTTATGAAAATTTCTTCCAAATATATTTCCTAAAATATAAACCAAGTAATATACTCTTTAGGTTTCATTTAGGACGGATTTTTTGTTGCTTCTTAAAGCATTTTTTTAGTATAAAAATTTTGATTTTTATATTAAAAAACTGTTTTAAGAAGCATGAAGAAAACCGTCCCAATTAAACTAAACTTCAAACCTTCTTTCCAAAGCAGCTTTCCAAGTACTGTATGTGCAATTACGAGATTTGTAATTTTTTTTTGTTACTGTTGTATTACAATTTCTTGAGAATCAAGTTGAATATTTGTTTATTGATGTTAGATAATAGGCAATCAATAATTTCTTAAGTATTTGATAATTTAATAAAAACCCTGAGATTTCTCTAAAAATGGGTGCCTGCTAAGGTTACCATCAAATTAGAATTGAAACTAATATACTACCTACTTCAATGCTGACAATTTATTTCCAAGAAAGCTATATTCAAGTCCAACCAACCCCATCTGAGTTAAGAAGATCTAAGTTTTGTTTGAGATAGCTTTCTTATTGCTTATTAAAGCAGGTTTTTAGTACAAAAATAATTTTATTTTTGTATTAAAAAATAGTAAGAAAGCCATCCCAAATGAAGCCTAAGGCTTAATTCGGGATAGTTGTTTTATTCCTTGCTAACGTAAATTTTTAGCACAAAATTTATTGAAAGCAGCGAGAAAGCAGTGGTCAAAAGCTATTCCAAACAATGCCTTAGACTTCATTTTGGATAACTTCCTTACTTCTTTCTAAAGCAGCTTTCCAGTACAAAATTTTTTTAACTTAAAATTTTTTTACTAAAAAGTTGTTTTATAAAACAATAGGAAAGTTATTCAAAATAAAACCTAAGATTTCGTTTAGAACGGCTTTCTTACTGCTTTGTGAAGTAATTTTTTAGTACAAAAATTTTATTTTTTTTACTAAAAAAATATTTTAAGAAACAGTAAAAAAGTCATCCCAAACGATGGCTAAGTCACCACCAGAAACTTGGAAAAGATATATATTACATAAACTTTGTATTTACCTTTGTGGCTGAAAAACTTTTATTAGATGCATGAATTCTATCATGGCTAAAAACTTCTATGGAATTGTTCTTCATAAACTATGTATTTACCTAAATGTGTGTGATTGCTGTTATTTTTTCTTATACAGATTTTTTTTAAATAATTTGAATATTTTTTGTTAGTTAATATCTAAATATGAGATAATTTAATTTAGAAGTTTGGTTTCATTTTTTTTAGAAAACTATTTCTTCTTTTAGATATATATTTACAATATTTTTTGAAATAAAAAACCATAGTCATCTAGCAGTTTAGGATGTTTTTATTGAGAGCCACTTGTTCATAATTTAGTTGTGAGTAGATGATAGTTGTTATCATAGACTTTTATTATCAATTCAAATAAATAAGATTTTTTTTTTATGTTGTGATTATTTAACAATTGTCTTCAAATTTGCATAAAATTATATTTTCTCTAATTAAGTATACTAGATAATTAGGTGGAAACTTAATTAGCAAAATATGATGTAGTATATGAGTTTTGTTTTAACATTTTAGAACTATAAAATTTGGAGGGGAAAGAAGGAAGAAAAATATGGAGGTTTTGTGGTTGTTAAAACCACCGCAAATGTGGAACAACTGTGGCAGTTTAAAATGTATCAATTCCAATAGAAACAGTTCAAATTGTTGTTAAATGCACAGAATTATGGTGGTTTAAAATGCTGCAAATTTACTATTAGTTATGTGTAGAATCTGATTGTATTGATCAATCGAGTTGTATTTCGACATTGCATTCTTGACTTGAAGACGGAATGGAATATTGGGGCACTCTAGAGCCAGCGTCGTGATGGTGAATTTGAATCAGAATGAGATTTTCAGAGAGGGAAACTGGGATGAAATTGGAAGAATGGTGGATTATATGACGGAACCAGTCATCACATATGACTCTATATATTTTTGAAGCAGCTATGATAGTTAAGATTTTGCTTTGGTGTGCCTCTTTTTTGGTTTTTTTTTTTTTTTTCTTCATAATTAAGGAATTAACAGTGGAGGCTGTATAATGGAGCTAATTTTGTGAAAAATATATGGATTATATGTTATGAATCAGTGAAATCATCCCTTTTTTAGTGTGATATTGTAAAATATTATGACAGAGGAGATGTTATATAGTATGTTCAGCTGCAAAATTTATTTCAAAGTCAAAGATTTAAAATTTTGGAAGGAGAGTCAATTATTTGATATTCTTACATCAACAAGTGTTCAATTTTGAACCAGACTCTATACATTCACGTGTCTTAGCCTACAAGACATGAAAATCATCGACAAAAATTAACAAATTTTAAAATTTGATAGAATTTATATGCAAAAAGATATTTCAATAAAACTTTATTTTTCTTTTTTACGTAAAAGAGAGTTTTGTGTCGTAGCACAAATTTGATATAGAAGAGATTCTATCAGAGACTTTGATGATAATTTTAAAGATGTTTATGACTGTTTACACACAGTATTAAACTCCACTTTTAAGGATGAATTATTTGATTCTGAGTAAATGAAAAGTAGATCAAAATATTTCAAAGTCAAGCACCTCAAAACATACTTCAAAAATTTTCCTTCTAAACAAGTAATTAAACCAACTTTTAAGTCCAATGATGAAGGCTTTGTTTGAAATGGCTTTCTTCCAGCTTCTTAAAGCAGCTTGTTAGTACAAAAATTTAGTAGTAAGCAAGCCGTCCCAAACAAAACCTAAGATATGTATATGCAAACAAACTTTCATTACTTTATATGCAAACCAACGGCGGAGAATAAATTATCTTTAATTAAAGATGTAATAATATTTAATTTTATAGCCAATTTTTGTTCTTTATTTATCCAAAATCTATGATAAATAGAGATTATTTGTATTTTCAGAACTAAATTTCATGAATACAAAGAATATCATAAAATTTTATGTTTGTGTGAATATGATGTTTGATGTTTGATGTGGATTAGTGGATAGATGTTATATATGAGGAGGAGATCAATATAGCATGTGAGAATATGAAGTTTGGTCTCTTTATCTATTTTAGATTGATTTTTCAGGTAAATTAATGTAGCATTAAATGTTTCTGAAATTTTCTTTCAAATATATTTCCTAAAATATAAACCAAGTAATATCTTCTTCAAACCTTCTTTCCAAAGCCACTCTTCTTAAAGCTTTCCATGTACTGCATGTGCAATGTTTTATCATGTCATACATTCCTTAAGTCTTCAATGTTTAAAAATGAAAAATATGTAAGATATAATTCAAAGAAAAACTTTGTATTTCCTTGTGATTAATGAATTGAACAGTGATTACTAGAATTGTTTTTTTTGTTCTTTTTTTGTTATTGTTGTATTAAAATTTTATTGGAAATCAAGTTGAATATTTCTTTATTGATATTTGATAATAGACAATCATTGAGCCAGTCATCATCCATTCAACTACACAATCAATGCTTGGCAATTTTCACTATTGAAAATGTTCTCGACTTTAATAATAAAAACTGGTAAAATTAATGTGAAAATAATTAATAAGCTTGTAAGCCAAGCGATATGTCATAAGAATTACCTTAAACAACTGAAGAAGAGAGAGCTAAAAAGAGAGATAACACAAGCGGAGAGAACCTATGTGAACCAGAAAAAAAAAAACCTATGTGGACCAGGCATTAGGACAAAAAATTTATTTTGAAGGTGGAAAAAATTTCAAAATTGTCATTTTTCAAAACTTAAAATTTATTTTGATAATTTAATAAAAACCCTGAGATTTCTGAGGAAATGGGTGCCTGCTAAGGTTACCATCAAATTAGAATTGAAACCAATACACTACCTACTTCAAAGCTGGCAATTTACCTCCAAGAAAGCTATATTCAAGTCCAACCAACCCCATCTGAGTTAAGAAGATCTATGCTTTGTTTGTGATAGTTTTCTTACTGTTTATTAAAGTAAGTTTTTAGTACAAAAATAATTTTATTTTTGTATTAAAAAATAGTAAGAAAGACATCCCAAATGAAGCCTAAGACTTCATTCGGGATAATTGTTTTATTGCTTCCTAAGTAAATTTTTAGCACAAAATTTATTGAAAGCAGCGAGAAAGCAGTGGTCAAAAGCTATTCCAAACAATGCCTTAGACTTCATTTTGGATAACTTTCTTACTGCTTTCTAAAGCAACTTTCCAGTACAAAAATTTTTTTAACTTAAAATTTTTATACTAAAAAGTTGTTTTATAAAACAATAGGAAAGTTATTCCAAATAAAACCTAAGGCTTCGTTTAGGACGGCTTTCTTACTGCTTTGTGAAGTAATTTTTTAGTGCAAAAATTTTATTTTTTTTACTAAAAAATTATTTTAAGAAACAATTAAAAAGTCATCCCAAACGATGCCTAAGTCACCACCAGAAACTTGGAAAAGATATATATTCCACAAACTTTGTATTTACCTTTGTGGCTGAAAAACTTTTATTAGATGAATTCTATCATGGCTAAAAACTTCTATGGAATTGTTCTTCATAAACTATGTATTTACCTAAATGTGTGAGATTGCTGTAATTTTTTCTTATACAGAAATTTTTTTTCAAAATAATTTGAATAATTTTTTGTTAGTTAATATCTAAATATGAGATAATTTAATTTAGAAGTTTGGTTTCATTTTTTTTTAGAAAACAATTTCTTAGATATATATTTACAATATTTTTTGAAATAAAAAACCATAGTCATCTAGCAGTTTAGGATGTTTTTATTGAGAGCCACTTGTTCATAATTTAGTTGTGAGTAGATGATAGTTGTTATCATAGACTTTTATTATCAATTCAAATAAATAAGATTTTTTTTTTATGTTGTGATTATTTAACAATTGTCTTCAAATTTGCATAAAATTATATTTTCTCTAATTAAGTATACTAGATAATTAGGTGGAAACTTAATTAGCAAAATATGATGTAGTATATGAGTTTTGTTTTAACATTTTAGAACTATAAAATTTGGAGGGGAAAGAAGGAAGAAAAATATGGAGGTTTTGTGGTTGTTAAAACCACCGCAAATGTGGAACAACTGTGGCAGTTTAAAATGTTGCAATTCCAATAGCAATAGTTCAAATTGTTGTTAAATGCACAGAATTATGGTGGTTTAAAATGCTGCAAATTTACTATTAGTTATGTGTAGAATCTGATTGTATTGATCAATTAGTTTTGTTATTGACTCCAACCTCAATTCCATCAAACTAGCTCGCCATGGTGTTGCAAGGCCGGCCACCCTCCTTTCGTAGGGTTCGAGGACCTTTTTACCTGGAAAAAAAAAAAATCAAACGATCATACAATATCGCAGAGTTGTCCATTAGAGCGCTACATACTTGTGCACTACAACATCGTAGTATGCAACACAGCAGTGCTGCAATCTTGACCTGGAGACAAAGAGCAAAATGTTGCAGCACTCCAAAGTTAGTGTCGCGACACTGTATTCTTGACTTAAAGACGGAATGGAATGTTTTGGCACTCTAAAGCCAGCGTCGTGATGCTTCAAGTCAAGCTGGAGATAAAGAGTAGACCGTTGTAGAGCTCTAATTAAGCACTAGCAATGTTGTGGCACTCTAGAGCCAGTGTCGTGGTGCTTCAAGTCAAGCTGGAGATAGAGAGTAGAGCATTGCAATGCTCTAAGCCCTAGCACGTACCGAGGCACTACAAGTCAAGCTGGGCAGTTTTTTTTTTTTTTTTTTTGGTTCTCGTTTTTTATACTTAACTTGAAGGGTTGCACCTTTTATTGGAAAAAAAAAAAGTTCATCCTTATTTATTCTGGGTAGAAAATAACGTGTGAAGCGAAGAGTATTGGGAAGTAAACCACATAATGAAATAAATAAGAAAAGAAGATGACATAAATGAAAGAACAACAGGAATTGACGTGAAAAACTTGAATCCATGAAAAAACCACGAGGTCACACCGCCACAAGAAATCCACTATGAAAATTGAAAGAAATTGCATAAATATTTTTCTCTCTCACCATTCCTTTATTTCTCTTCTCTCTATACACATATGTTTTACACATAACTGACAAAGAGACTCTCATAAATCACCTGAAGGGACGCAACCCTTTAAGTTAAACATAAAAAATGAGAGAGAAGATTGTTCAGGCTAACTTGTCGCAAATGTTGTGGCAATAGTGTTTGGAGCGCTAGTGTTTGGAGCACCGCAACACTCCACTCTGTCTCCAACCTAACTGATAGCACTACAGCACCTAGGTTTGAAGCATTGTGGCGCTCTGCTCTATGTCTCCAACTATCACAAGTGTACAACACTACATCACTAGAGTACATCACCGCAGTATTGTGCAGTTGTATGAAATAACATATATATACATATTAGGCACGGGGGCAACCTTCCCCCAGCAAGCTCAACTGATGGAAGTGAGGTCTAAGTCAATGATACAACTTGGTTGATCGACACAATTTGATTCCAAATAGACCCAATAAAGATATCTGAACAACTCTGTAAAAAATAGCTGCGAAAATAAGTACATTTTCCCCTCTCTGTTAGTTAAAGAATTTTCAAATCTTTCATTCGGCTTTCTTTGTGAGCATGCAAAGCAAGCAAAAGTTGCAACCAATTTCACAAAAGTTGATTGAACAATTCACATAAAACTTCAAAAAAGAAAAAAAACCTAAGTTATTACAAAATTTCTACAAGAAGATCTACAGTATAAAACCAGTTTTCCCTGCTTTTATTCTTTACCTGAAAGAAAATCAGTTATGGAGAAGATAGAGAATGAGAATCAATATATAACCAGCTTTCCCAGTTTTTAACGGAAGAAGGAAAAGAAGATCATACGAAGCTTGCGCTTGCGCCACGACCTGCCAGAGCAAGCACGTGCTGTCTTGATTAAATGCCGAAGATTGTGTGTGAAACGAAAGAAGGAAGACGAACGAACCTCTGTGCCGAACGAATCTATCTCAAGGTACAGTGTCCTGAGGCAACTGAGATTCCCAAATGCCGGTGAGATCTGGCCAGTAAAGCCATTCCTGGCGAGATTCAAGCGAATAAGTTTCAGCATCTTGAAAAGGGCAGAAGGAATGTCGCTAGAAAAATGATTGTACTAATAAAATAGAGGCTGCGGAGTTCACCGGCACCGGA